GTTGTAAATAATATATTTTTGGAAAACTTTATTCCTCTTGTTTGTGTTCATTTTCTCTGTTTAAAAACTTTTATCACTGATTATTTAAATTTAGTTGAAAGGGTGTGTATTTATATTTTTTTTAGACTTTACATATCCTTGTGTGTCTGGTTAAACTAAACTCAAAACCATAAGTAAAATACAGTAAAATCACAATAAGCTGGTTAAAAACATCCTACATGTCAGAAGGCAGACCTGACTGGCACCCAACTCAATAAAATCAAAATTAATAGCAATAAAATAACAATAAACCAGAACCGTCACACGCTTTTTAGTCCCTAAAAATAGCAGGGTGGTTCACCACAGTTCATACATGGGTGGTTTAYAATATGTGGCATAAAATAAGGAATATAAAACTTACATCTCCTTTCCTGCGTGTAAACAATTCGATTCTGCTGTACCTTCTCTTTGGTCCTGAGCTCGTCGAACATCTCCTGGATCTCCACACGCCAGTTGTCCTGCAGGCTGTGGAAGGAGTCCTGTGGCATGGTGGCCATGACGGCCTCCTCGATGGCCGACAGCTGCTCCAGGATGCAGGAGAAGGAGGGACGCTCATGAGGGTCCTGGTCCCAGCATTCTAAAGTTCGACGCATAGAAAAAACCCAAAAAACGCTGAACTTTACATCAGAGGGGGATGTTTTCTGATACCACAGAAATCTTTAACCAATGCCAACATATTTGAAAGTTAGGATAGGAATTATAGAACGACAAACCAGCTAATTTAACTTCACTGGGATTTGGATGCAGTTACCTTCCATGAGCTTGGCGAAGGGTTCAGGGCAGGTTGAGGGGATCGGCAGAGTCAACTTATTGACTGCCACGCCATAAGCAACAGCCAGACCATCAATCCCTCGATAAGGCACCTCTCCTGTTAACAACTCCCACAGCAGGACGCCATAACTAACAAATGGCATACAACAAATCAAAATCAACAAAGCACTGATGAGAAGTAGCCAGTAGAAACAAAACAATACATTTTATTGTTTCAATATGGAGCCATTTATCATACCTCCAAACATCGCTGCCTTTGGAGAAAAGCGAGCACTTGATGACCTCAGGGGCCATCCAGGAATAGGTGCCTGCAGCAGACATTTTTGTGGTTTTGTGCCATTCCCTGGCCAGGCCAAAATCTGTGATCTTCAAGGTCTTCCTCCCAATGTCATCATTCTCTATTTTTTCAAGTAATAAAACTAAAAACAAACAAACACAAAAAGAGCTACATTAAGGAAGGATTTAATATAATGAGAAGATTAGGACACTCAGTAAAAGGAGAGCAATATGATAGGCTAAACTGAGGTTCTTCTTCCATGAAGCAGCTCT